AGTTACAACCCACAGATTCCCTCGCCCTTATCCTGAGAGGTAACCCAATACACATACCTTTTACCACAATGCATCCTGGCTTCCTCTCCTCTACCCTGGAGATAAGTGAGAAGTAATTCAATTATCTCCCAGGACAGGGACAAGACTCCATTATGCACATGGTGACACAAAGACAGTAAAACACTTTAAAATACATAAAGTCACATTTGTTACATAACACACAGACATTTAACATATCCCCAGATAGCTCAGGTCTGAGCTCACATTATTAAGCGAATGGCGCTCAGACCACACGAATACAGTTTAATCGCCATGGAGCCAAAGTCTTTACAGTCAGTTTCATACGAATGGGCTCCATGGGATTTCTATCTGGGGTATAACACATTCAAACAAATCTACCGAACCCCAGGCAGAAAAGCACGAATGAAGCTTTTCTGCAGGTAAAAAAGATGTCTTTTAACAGGGGGCCATAGTCCAAAGGTAGCAGGCGAGCAACCAGGCTTCTCCAATGCAATGTGGCGAGATTGGTCTCGTCACATCTCTCCCCTTTTCCAAACAGACTAACAGGGTATCTGACTTCCTGCCGGTCAGTGCCCTTGTTAGTCCAGCAGCCCACCCACAAAACATAATCAACAGCACAGCCCACCCACAATAAATCTTTACACATATTGATAACGCCGATTGGCGAAACGCGTTTATGGTTTTTTATATTGTGTAATGTTACAATTAAAGTATATTTTATAATCTTTTATTGTACTACTTATCTTTTAATACACATATAATTATTATTACTACCTGGCATCATTCGCTGGACTCCAAGCAATCCTAGGTGGGGATTATTCCACCAGTGCGAAATACCAGGAGCAGTTGACCTGCTCCTGTCTTGTGAGTACCCATTTTTATTTTATTTTATATTGGATTTTAAATTTTACGCAGAGAACACTATTGGCTGTCTCTTTTTATTTGAGCACCTCTTACACCACGGAAGGAGAAAACACGTGAAGGATAACCATCCTATATCCCATAAGCGGGGATCTAAACCGCTGTACGCCTTCTATACCAGAGCAGGTTCTAGCTCTTGGGTATGTGAGTTCGCAATCAAGCTTTTATATTTTATTCCTTTCACATTAAGATATACTGCACCATTGTGGTTTTGTATTTGTTTTTATTTCTTATATACGAGACGGTCCACAAGAAAGACAGAAAGCAAGATTATTGTTTCGGACTAAGCACTACGGACATTGTAAGATAAGACCTTCTCTCCTTTATTTATTTATTTTATCTGGACTTTTACACTTATTATCTAAGCGCAGCTCTTTCTCTGTATTTTTTGTGTTTTATCCTAAAGGGTCTTTGAGGTATTCCCTTTTAGGGTTGCTGCCTATTTGTGTTATTTAGCGCTTACTCATTTGTTTTTGTTTCACCCACAATAAATGGTTACTACACCTGGGTAAAGGAGAAGCTTGTCCATGTCCAGGTGCCTCACCACGGCTGTGCTGGGTACGGGTACGCTGACTGGGTGGGTTGCTGCGTGGGCAGAGACCAGCGGCACTCTGCCCTGTTGCCAGCGCTACTGGGAGGGTAGCCTGGTTGAAGCCTGGTTGTTGGAGGGGGAGACCGACTGTCTCCCCTTTAACTACACCGCTCTGCTGCTGGAGACCGACTGTCTCCCCTTTAGATACACCGCTCTGCTGCTGGAGACCGACTGTCTCCCCTTTTGTTGCACAGCTCTGCTGCCGGAGGGGGAGACCGACTGTCTCCCCTTTGGATACTCTAAGCTGTCGCTGGGGAGAGGGGGTAACAGGCTCCTCTCCCGATAGAACACTCTGCCGCTGGGGAAATGAGACTGAGCTCTCTATTCCCTGCCCATTAATGATCCGCTGCTGGGGAGAGGTGGTAGCAAGTTCCTCTCCCATACATACTTCCAGCCTCCGTGGAGGGAGACCGACTGTCTCGCCTCACAATACAGAGTCCTGCTGCTGGAGAAAGGAGACTGGGCTCTCTATTCCCTGCTGGATACTCTGCCGCTGGGACTGGAGACTGGGCTCCCAATTCCCTACACATCACACTGCCGCTGGGGAATGGAGACTGGGCTCCCAATTCCCAAAAAATCACGCTGCCGCTGGGGAGTGGAGACTGGGCTCCCAATTCCCGGCACATCACACTGCCGCTGGGGAATGGAGACTGGGCTCCCAATTCCCAGCACATCACTCGGCCGCTGGGGAATGGAGACTGGGCTCCCAATTCCCAAAAAATCACGCTGCTGCTGGGGGGCAGGAACAACTACCTCTGCCCCCTGTAGCTCAGCCTGCCGCTGGGGAGGGAGGACGCTGCTCTCCTCTCCCTGCACTTTACACTGCCTTCCCGGCATATCACTCTGCTGCTGGGGGGCAGGAACAACTACCTCTGCCCCCTGTAACTCAGCCTGCCGCTGGGGAGGGAGGACGCTGCTCTCCTCTCCCTGCACTTCACACTGCCTTCCCGGCATATCACTCTGCTGCTGGGGGGCAGGAACAACTACCTCTGCCCCCTGTAACTCAGCCTGCCGCTGGGGAGGGAGGACGCTGCTCTCCTCTCCCTGCACTTTACACTGCCGCTGGGGAATGGAGACTGGGCTCCCAATTCCCGGCATATCACACTGCCGCTGGGGAATGGAGACTGGGCTCCCAATTCCCTGCATATCACACTGCCGCTGGGGAGAGGAGACTGGGCTCTCTCTGTCCCGCAACTGTAGCTGCCGGTGGAGGTCCACCCACCGTGGCAGCTGACCGTCACCCTCTGCCCGGTACAGCAGAGTCTTGAATACTAGACTCCTCACGAACTTCACGGATTTCTCAGCTGGATTAGGTCCGAAGAAGTTCAGCCGCAACCACATCATACGGTCAAATTCCTGTACAGAGTATCTGTACTCCACTGCTGGTTCCATTCTGTTGCTGTCAGGGTCGCTGTACTGAGACATGCGTTGCCCTCAAATTGTAAAATCCACAGAATGGTGTCTCCTGTAGCTGTCCTTCTGGCTGTAGGAACGATCCCGCCGCTTGCCACCAATTGTAACGGACCGTTTTGCACACAAGGGGTAAAAACCGTTTAGGCGATCGGCCCCCTTTCCAGAGATACAGGCACAGCTACTGCAGAACACCAAACTCCCGAACTGGATACAAAATAGCACTCCAACTCCCGAACTGGAACCTCCCAAATAGCTGCTAGCAGACGAACAGGAAAAGCAGACAATCAGCTTACACTCCTGGCAATCAGTCTCTAACAGCATACAGTGAATCCCCCCAAGAACGAGACAAGGCTCCGTGTTGAGGGTCAAGCAGTGGTCTGAGGTGCTGGCACACCCAGCCTGGTTTTTATTACAGTCTTGCAAATACAGGACCGCCCACAGGGAGGTATAAAATATCCAGTAACATATTAGTTACAACCCACAGATTCCCTTCCCCCTTATCCTGAGAGGTAACCCAATACACATACCTTTTACCACAATGCATCCTGGCTTCCTCTCCTCTGCCCTGGAGATAAGTGAGAAGTAATTCAATTATCTCCCAGGACAGGGACAAGACTCCATTATGCACATGGTGACACAAAGACAGTAAAACACTTTAAAATACATAAAGTCACATTTGTTACATAACACACAGACATTTAACATATCCCCAGATAGCTCAGGTCTGAGCGCACATTATTAAGTGAATGGCGCTCAGACCACACGAATACAGTTTAATCGCCATGGAGCCAAAGTCTTTACAGTCAGTTTCATACGAATGGGCTCCATGGGATTCCTATCTGGGGTATAACACATTCAAACAAATCTACCGAACCCCAGGCAGAAAAGCATGAATGAAGCTTTTCTGCAGGTAAAAAAGATGTCTTTTAACAGGGGGCCATAGTCCAAAGGTAGCAGGCGAGCAACCAGGCTTCTCCAATGCAATGTGGCGAGATTGGTCTCGTCACAAAGTGTATTTCATGCAGCGTTTGGTTATTTATGTTGGGATCTGAGTGGTACTTTCACGAAAGGTGTGCTCAGACCCTAGCTATCTACCGAACGGTTGTTCGGTAATATAAGAGGAATAATGTACAAGTTATGTATTTTTGTGTAAAATGTTAGTTCTGCTGCATGGAGGGATAATCCACTTAACTGGATATTTCAGTGGGAGTATCCCTCTCGTGCAGCAGTGCATGATGGGAGAAATGTCTGGGTTGTTAAGTCCCCCATTTAGTCCCCTACTGTAAAACCCCTGGAATGTCAATAGGGAAACCTCTTGCATGGGGACTTGCATAAATACTGTGACCTGTGAATAAAAGTTCAGTTGACTCCCAGAACTGTGTTTCGTCCGGTTACTGGGAGATTTGGGATATTGCCTTACTTTTCAGCGCTGTACTTTCGATTACCTTCTGTACCAGCGGAAATCTTGGGATTTAATATTGCAGCTCCGCTACAGAAACCATATTAATTATAAACATTTCACTAATATGAGGGGTACAATTTATGGAAATTGACTGCCAAGGGGTACTCAAGTGAAAAAAAGCTTGTCAACCACTGCGTTAGACCATTCAAGCATAAGGTGATGGGAGCTGTCTTGCTTAATACATGTGAAACAAAAATAACAATTATAAAAAAAAAAGAGCATTAGGTAACTAAAATAGATCAGTGCGAGCCTCTTTGCCCTCGAGAACCATGAGTGTATGTGCCATACGCCACTGGTATTGGAGGTGTTCTCCTTCATGCCAGGGTACCTCCCGAAAGGTCTGAGTAGACTGTAAGTTGAATGTTCTCGAATTGGTAGGGTGTGCGATACTTTATGGCTTCAAGGACTGCCTTCCTGGCCCCTTCACTTCTCAAGCGGACTATTAGGTCCTTTGGTGCAGCAGCTGGGGTCCTAGGTGGTTTAGGTATTTGGAATAGCCCCTCCAGCTCCAACATGTTGCTTTGTCTTAGGGTCAGGAGTTGCTTTGTCTTAGGGTCAGGAGTGCTTCCATTAGGCGTCTTATAAAGTGCAGTAATTCTTCTGCTGAGATGTCCTCACAGATGTAGCATATTTTCACATTCTGCTTATGCCTGAGGTCCTCTAGTGTTGTGAAGCGATGGTCGTAGGACTCATTTTGTTTCTGTAGGCCCAAAAGATATATGCTATCCCTCACCTTTCCTCATTATTATTTTTTTTTATGATTCCCCTATTATGATGTAATATTCCAGGTGTTTGATGGATTCTTAATTGTAATTGTGTTGCAGTATGTCTATTTATTATAATAACTCCAGATATATGGCGGACTTCTGGACTGTTTATAGACTGTGTGTATAGAACTTTGAATACACACAGTGATGCTCTTCTGAGCTTTCGGACTCAAGCGCTGGAACTCTAATGATGTCCAACATCAGATGCAAAAGGCCGTCATAGCGTCTGAGTACACAAAGGTATTGAACCCGGACGTGAATACCAGCAATACGAGAGAAGGTGCCAAAACACATTTAAAAGGAAGAGGAAGAGACACTCACATGAAAATCACTTTTGATAAAGGTCAACCGGCCGAAATGCGTCAAGTGGAGGTGGACTACTATTTATTCAATTTTTTAAGATTTTTAATTACATTTTGTTTTTACTGTTTGTTTTCAAGAAAGCCAGTAGTGCTTTTATACACCCATATCCACTTTTTGGGAGTTCCTTGCTGGTTCTATGCTGGGAAAGAGAAAAGCATTATAATTGAAACATCCAGACTCTTACAAGGTGGCCACCGTTATTTCAGTATTTCAGCTTTTAGTCTGAGCCAGCTTGTTAAGTTGCTCAGAACCATGTGAGTGGATCCAATATTAATTATTTCAATCATATAGTTTTAACTATATTACCCTATGTATATATTCCTTTTTGTTTTCAGATATAACTACTGTATGTGCCAAATGTGGTAATCTGCTATAGTTTGGTGTGCTTTCACCTTTTTTATTATATTTTGCATTATTTCTTGTGTGTTTTGGAGTGATACACACGGAGATTGTTAGCACCTTATCTCTCAGGTTTTATTAAACTTTACTACCGATTCTTTATATAGGTCTGACAGTATGTTGGTTTGGAGGTCTGCTAGGAGAGATTTTAGTACCTCTGTGGTGACTGGTGCTTTGTTTGGGTCTTGCAGTGCCCGGTCTGTAGGCTTTAAGATCAGTGTGTCTTCTATTTCCTCCTCAAGGAAGAAATCGTCTGAGAACTCCAAATACGCCTCCAGGGACGCGGCCATTTTGAGTTCTGCCGCATTGTGTGCTTGGCACAGGAGGTCCCCAATATACAGGCCTGGATGCGGTTTGTCCAGTTTAAAGTTTGTTTTTTTGGCCCATAACGGATCTAATATTGCAGGTACTTACCCTTGGGTCACCAATTTGGCGTTTTGAGCACTCCAGAGGGTAAATAGTTAGCCAAGTTACTGGCACACTCTTGCGATGTGGTCACTCTGTTCAGTTGCTTGGCCCCCGCACCACCATGCACTGTTTTTGCTATGCATGGAAAACAACTGCCTGTAGCGAGTCTCTCCCGCTTTGTCCCTGTAACAAAGAGTTACAGGGACAATGCCGAAGAGCTGATGGACAGGTGAGAGATAGACCTATTTTTAAATAGGTTTTCTCCCAGTCTATAGATTTTGCTAGCAATCCTGCTAGCACAATATAGAGATATAATTTTTTAATTTACGTACAGATGGAAGTTGTCATTTATTTTAAATGTCTTTGATTTCTGAGAACAATATGTGTAAATACATACACATGCATGTATATTAATGTGTGTGCATTATGCTAATAATATTTAAACATATTATTGTACATGTATTGATGAACAATACACTTGAAATTACATTAAAGGGATCCTATAGTGCCAGGAAAACAAAGCTGTTTTCCTGGTACTATAGATTTCTAAGGTTCCCCACTCCCTTTAAGGCGAGTTCTCCTAATCTCAGCTCCTTACCTGTATAAAAGACAGCTGTGAGCCAGAAATCTTGCTGATTGATATGGAATCAAATGCTTATTTCACTCATTGACATGCAAATCAATTTATAATTTTTTTGACATGTGTTTTTCTGGATTTTTTCTTTGTTATTCTGTCTCTCACTGGTAAAATACAACTACCATTAAAATTATAGACTGATCATTTCTTTGTCAGTGGGCAAATGTTCAAAATCAGCAGTTGATCAAATACTTTCTGCACTCACTGTATGTCAAGATAATAAGACTGAAACATTGACTATATGCTAATGCACATCTGCTTAAAATAAAGCAGTTCTTTTGTTTATTATGAAGTCCTATGAGTGCTTTCCTTCATGTTTGAGAAATAACTTTAAATTTTAAGTTATCTTTTCCACACCTGCACACTATGCTGGTGTGACACATTATAGAACTGGTGCAGAGCTTTTTTTTTAGAGCTTATTTTAGTACCAATTCTGGCCCTGCATATGCCCAACATCTTACCCATCACCCACCTTCTTGTTCACATATCTATAATTACATACATCAACCAACCCACCCAGTCACCGCATCAAATAACCTATGTTTATCCACCAATTAAAATGTAGCCACAGTGAATGTCTCAGCATCCAGAGGGATTCTGATCCTCTGAGTCAGAGGCTGTCTTATGGGCTCTGAAAAAGCCTTTGTCAGGCCTCTTTGCATGTCTTCATGCTGGGCTGTGCATGCTGTTCAACACTGGTCACTGTGTGATTGGCAGGGACAGCTTGAACAAATAGAAAATGTGAGAGATATGTTTATATATCAAACCTGAATTGAAGCCAAAAATTAAAGGAACACTATAGGGTCAGAAACACAAACATGTATTCCTGACCTTATAGTGTTAACACCAACATCTGGCCCCCCTTTGCCTCCCTAAATATAGTAGAATCTTACTTGTATTCAAGTCTGCAGCTGCTGCCTGCTTGGCTGAGATCATAAGAAGTGGTGGTCTGAGCCAATCACAATGCTTCCCCATAGGATCCCCATAGCATTGGCACACTGTGCAGCACTGCCTCAGGAAGCACTTCTAGTAGCCATCTGAGGAGTGGCTAGTGGAGTTATCACTAGGCTGTAATCTAAACACAGTAGACAGCCCATGAGGGAGCAAAGAGAACACAGCTCCCTCACCGCGTCTGACAGGAACTCTGCCGCTCGCCGCACTAAAGTCCCACTGGACCCCAGGGACAGATACACGCTGTAGAATATTGCCTATTCTATATGTTCCTATTCATATACATATTAAGTGTGGCTGTCTAATGGGTTAACAGAACAGATGGCATTTGCTATTCTGTACCATGAGGTCTCTGGAATTTGCTGTATAAGAGATTTGAGGTGGTCTTTATATGGGGAATTTCCTTATATGGCCAGAATCTAAACTAAACTTTATGACGTAATTTGGGCTATAAAGGTCAGAGGAAAAGGGTCCATGCGCTCTTCCTTCTACAATCCGTTTTGCTCTCCTCTCTGATGTTCTGAGTTGCTGATACAAAGACGACTCCCTGTAACGTTGTTAAGAAATACCATCTGTTAAGTATATTATTGTTTGCTTTTGAAGTAGAATAAATGCATATTTTTTTATAAAGAATGTCAGATTGCGTGTTAGTACTTTTCATTAAAGTACTATGCTGGTGTGACACATTATAGAACTGGTGCAGAAAACATACTCGTTTTTCTGGCACTATAGTGCCCTGAGGGTGCCCCCACCCTCAGGGTCCCCCTCCCGCCCGGCTCTGGGTAGAGGAAAGGGGTTAAAACTTACCTTTTTCCAGCACTGGGCGGGGAGCTCTCCTCCTCCGATCCTCCTCCGTTCCTCCCATTCGGCTATGCTATGCTTTCCTATGGACGCTTGCGTGCTCTCACTGTGATTTTCAATGAGACAGCCACTAGAGGAATTGGAGGAAGGATTAACCCATTTACAAACATAGCAGTTTCTCTGAAACTGCTATGTTTATAAAAAAAAATGGGCTAACCCTAGCTGGACCTGGCACCCAGACCACTTCTGTGACGAGACCAATCTCGCCACATTGCATTGGAGAAGCCTGGTTGCTCGCCTGCTGCCTTTGGACTATGGCCCCCTTTTAAAAGACTTTATTTTTGCATGCAGAAAAGCTGTATTCGTGCTTTTCTGCCGGTTGTTCGGTAGTTTCAATCTACCGAACAACCGTACGAATGACTGGACCACCTGGGAGCTGGAGTGTGCCGGCAATTAACCTCCCTGAAGCTGCGGTTAACCGCAGCTTAATTGATGAACGCTGGGTGGCCGCCGTTCGTATCCCGAACACGAGGTCGCGGCCATTTTAAACCATACGAATGAACAGCGGTGTTCGCCTCTATTTTTATGGAACTAAAATCGGACACAGTTTTGCGCGAACACCGCTGAAGCCGCCGACCTCCCTTCTCGTTCGGTGAAAGCACACGAATGACCCGGTGTTCGGTATTTTTGTGTGAATATCTTATACCCCAGATAGGAATCCCATGGAGCCCATTCGTATGAAATTGAACTGTATTCGTGTAGTCTGAGTGCCATTCACCTAATAATGTGCACTCAGACCTGAGCTATCTGGGGATATGTTACATGTCTGTGGTTTATATAGTAAATGTTACTTTGTGCATTTTAAAGTGTTATGCTGGTTTTGTGTTCCCACGTGTGTAATGGAGTTTTGCCTTTGTCTTGGGAGATAATTGAGTTACTTCCCAATTATCTCCCAGGGCAGAGGGGAGGAAGCCAGGATGCATTGTGGGAATATACTGTGACTGTGTGTCCCTTTTGTATACTTGTCTGTCCCTTGTCACAGTCTCCCATTTGGTCCCCTAGGGGAGTGTCCACCAGGTGGGAGACCTGCATAAAAGCTGGGCAGGTAGCCCTCATTAAACAGACCACTGCTTGACCCTCAACACGGAGCCTTGTCTCGTCTTTGGGGGGATTTACTGTATGCTGCTAAGGACTGATTGCCAGGAGTGTAAGCCGCTTGGAAGCTTTTCCTGTTCGCCTGCTAGCAGCTATTCGTATGGTTCCTGTTCGTTTATTTGAAGTGTTACCTTATTCCCTTGTATGCCGTTCGGGAGTTTGGAGCATTCACTTATTGGCGGTTCGTGAGTTTTGGTGATTCTACAGTAGCTGTGCCTGGCTCTGAAAGGGGGATTATCGTCTAAACGTTTTTTTTCCCCTTTTGTGCAAAACGGTCCGTTACAACTTCATTAAGCTGAAGTGGTCTGGGTGCCTAGAGTGGTCCTTTAATATAGACATATATTGACGAGCTAGCTAGACTGTTTTTCTGGCATTCCATACTTCCATTAAGGGTGGAATTGAGCAGAGGATGTGAGTGAGAGGACGGATTGAATTACTCTTTGTGTTGAATAGAAGTGTGTGCAGCCAGAAACAGAGAAAAAGAACCATGTTAAAAGCTGTGTTAAGAGCTGTGTGTGTTTATCAGAAGACAAAGATTTTCAAATCACAAAGACTGTTCCAAGATTATATTCTACAACAGACAAAAGCACGTGTTATAAACAAAGCAGCACAAGATACAACGTGAAGTCTAGAAGCAAGCACGTGGCAGAGATTGGCAAGCTTTCAGAATCAAGCCCAGAACTGAGCAGCTGTACGAGTAAAAGGCAGACTAAAGACAGACGGTGTCGTGCATTAAAGATCGACTTGTCTGGTGAGTAATAATGGATTTTGTTACTGATATTGCAGAGAAAAGTAAATTTGATTTTGTGTTTAATAGATGCTATACAGATGCTCAATTGTGGGCAAGTTTGTATGAGCAATGTAAACAAGCAAATTCAGCTATTGATAATAAATTATGTTTAAATAAAACAAAAAAGAAAATTAGAAATGTTTTAAAATTGGTAGAAACCTTTGACACAATGATCCTTAGAACAGGAGTGGCTCCAACAAAATTGCAAGTACTAGCACAAGTAAAGGTGCAAAATTTAAAAAGTACACAAACAGACATTAAAGAGAAATCTGTATGTGTAGCAGAAATGAAATGTACTAACTGTGATAGACTACAGGCAAGTATTTGTGATTTGAGAGAACAGCTGGATCTTAAATCTGAATTAATTTGTAAGCTCAGAAATGAAGCTAAACAGTTGTGTGTAATTACAAGGAGTGATCATAATTTGATACCAGAGCCAGTTGATGTCACAGAAATATCATCCCAGTCTGATTTGCAACTCAGAAAATTGTTAGATAAGGCTGCAAAACTTAAATTAAAAATTCAAGAGCAGCTGATGAAAGTTACCAAAGATATTCCCCCATATAAACCATCAATGGATGCCTTTGGTAATGCAGACGTATTTGAGTCTAATTTAGCTAAACATAATTTGAATGATGAACAGAGGAACAGATTGTTTAAAATATGGCTGCCAACATACATTGCACGTAGGGATAAAAAGTTCTGGTACACCTATTGTGTGCACAGAGGAGAGGGAGTTCAACTGGCACTAAGTCGCTCAGACTGGAAATAATAGGGATTCACAAAAACCTACAACTAATAACAAGAAGAGCACTCTAGGGGATAGTGCATGGATACCAGGAGCTGACTTGTGAAAATAACTTAAAATCTGACTAATAAATAAAATGAGTAATATGCAAAAATGTGTAAAAAAAGAATGTGTAAAATGTTGGGTACTGTGCCTTTAAGAGCTGCAAAACAAAACAGAAGTGAAGGTATAAATGCTAGGTGACATATAAATGCAGTGAATATGTGCCAAACTAAAAACTAAAAGACGTGCTCACAAAAATGTATGGAGACAGTATGTGTCAAAAAGATGAAGGAAAAAATATATATATATCTATATATATATGGTGTGCACGGTTAATAGCACTTCCACTGGATATAAATAGAAGTAACAGTGTTGCAAAGAATAATAGCAATGTTGCAAATAATAGCAAAAAGGCAACAGTGACTGGGACTGTGTATTTGAAGCAGTCAATCAATTGCTATAGACTGAATTAAAGTAAAACAAACTGGATATAGTAAAAAAACAGTTTATTATAAACAACAATAGAAATTACTTAAATAGTTATAAAAACCAAAAAATATAGGTCAGGAACAGTAGATGATATTGTTACCAGTCTTATGAAAGTGGACAGATGTTGTAAACCCTCGGACTGGCTGAGGATGGATGTGATTGAATAATGCCAATTCGTCTCCTGAATGCAGCTGCCGGTGAGGACGGCATGCGTCTGGATGTGCGCCCCAACAAGACCTCACTCCAGGGGACGGACAGAGCAGACAATCTCGGTAGATGTATTCTCCAAGGGATCTGTATGCAAAGCAATCTTTCTGCTGGTTCAATCAGTCTGTATCCTGCCTTGATTGATAATATCATAGGCACAGATGTTATGCAAAGAAGAGGTTGGATTGTTGATTTGGGAAACAAAGCTATTTGGAAAGATGCTAAGGGTAGGAAACCAGTGCTATTGGATCCTATTGAATATGGGGAGCTAGGAATTGTTTGTCCAGTAGATGTAGTGTCTACAGAAATGCAATGGCCTAATACTAGGGATAACCTTGAACTTATCCAGAGTTATCCAGATTTATGGGCACAAAGTAAGAATGAATGTGGAAGATTTAAAAATGTGCTGATTGACATTCAAGGTCCTGATCCACCCCCACAGAGGCAGTAAAGAGTACCCCCAGATTCAATTGATTCTATTGCAAGTGTCATTAATGATTTGGAACAGAGAGGAATAATTAGAAAAGCAAATAGTCCATGCAATCATAATCTGTGGCCAGTGTTGAAAAAATAATCAAATTCCTGGAGATTAACAATTGATTTAACAACATTAAATAAATACACACCACCTTCTGCACATGTGGTAGCTGAAACCCCAGATATGATGTCACGATTGATGTCAACGGCTAAAGTATACTCAGTACCAGATGTAAGTAATGGGTTTTTCTCTGTACCACTGAAGCATAGTTATCAATATAAGTTTGCTTTTACATTTCAAAATCAGCAATATGTGTTTACTGTGTTACCCCAGGGATTTCACAGTTCTCCAACATATTTTCATCAGGCATTTCTAGGCCAGAATGCTTGTTACAATATGTTGATGATATGCTTTTGCAGACTGAAACTGAGGAAGAACACCTGATTCTGTTAAATGAATTATTTTTCCTTTTGCAGGATTCTGGTTTAAAACTGAATACACGCAAAGTAACACTGATGCAACCAGATGTACAATACTTGGGTCTACACATTGGTCCAGGACACAAGAAGCCAGTGCAGGAAAGAATCAAAACTATTTCTTCTCTTCCTGTACCGACTTCACACAAGGCCTTACGCCAGTTCCTAGGATTAATGAATTTTTCGAGAGAATTCATTGAAGGGTTCGCTCTTGAAATAGTGAATAGTGAATCTTCATTTGGACCATGGGCAGATGAACATCAGAATGCATTTGAGGTACTTAAAAGAGACTTACAGGTTGCACCTGCTTTAGCGACAATACATCAAACTGCATCTTTTGCAATTCAAGTACATACTTCAGAGACGGCAGTCTCCGCGGTACTATTACAATTGCAACAAGAGATATGGAGAATAGTGGGATATTTTTCTAAAATTCTTTCCCCAGTGGAAAGAGGGCTAGAAATGTGTGCCAGACATTTGGTAGGAGTACATTTTGCGGTAATGGCAACGGAACACATAGTGGGATTCAAGGACATAATTCTGCAAACACCACATACACCTTTGAAATTACTTCTTGAAAAAGGAATTCCAGGTGTGTCACATCAGAGATTTTCACAATGGTTAATAGCTCTATCACCAAAGCAAATTAAGGTAGAACAGAAGGCAAAGTATGTACTTCCACAACTAATGCAATATGAGGGTAAACCCCTTGAATGTTTAGCAGAAGTGGAAGAGAATTTTCTTTCTCTTTTCAGAAAGGAAGCAAGTAAATCTGATGAACCTGTGTTTGTTGACGGGTCCAGATTCTGTTCAGATGGGAAGTACTATACAGGTTATGCTATATGGTATCCAAAATGGGGATATTCAGTAGAACATAAATTGCCAGGTCATTTGTCAGCACAGAGAGCAGAACTAGAAGCATTAAAAACAGTACTGACACTTGAGGAAAAAGAAGGGCGTCCCCTAGTGATATATAGAGATAGTTCATATGTGGTTAGATCACTAACAGAACATTTAGCTATATGGAAAAGAAGAGGGTTCGTAGATGCCTCAAATAAAGTGTTAGCACATAAAGAGACACTAGAAACCATATTTGGAATTGTGTCTCAAGAACCATGTTTACATGCTATAGTTAAAGTTCCTGCCCATCATAAAGGTAAAGATTTACTTAGTGACGAAAATGAAATAGCTGTAGCGGAGGGCCACGAGCTGCCCTGGGACTTACATCATGTTTAAACTGTATGTGTCTATTTGGTAAATGTCTTTGCAGTAAGGGAATGTATTCGGGTGAAATGGCTAAGTTTTATGTGTAAATGTACTGGATTCGTCTGAATGTAAGGTAGTTTCATTCCCTTAGTTTGTTAGAATGAAACTACCGAACAGTCAGGCCTCCCCTGTGTGAAGTGTGTTCTCAATTACCCGTTGCAACATTGTTGCGAACGGGTAATTGAGAAGGGAAGTAGCCGTCCTTTGTTCTCGGGGATGGCCGCCATTCGACAAACGAACACGTGGCGGCGGCCATTTTAAAACTCCCGAACAGCTGTGTTTTGCCATTGAGTGTCTGGAACTCAAATCGGACACTCGACTAGGCGAACACCGCTGAATCCTCCACAAGCCTGGTCCGTTCGGTTCCTAACTACCGAACGGCCCCTCGTTCGGTAGATAGAAAGAACCGAATGAGGGAATTCAGGCGAACCCTCCCTAGCCTCTATAGCTAGAGGCTTTCGTGCAGTTTGTTCCCTTATTCCAGGACCGACCGCAGGGCCCATTCGCATGGAACCGCATTCGGCTATTCTAGTCAGTGCGGTCGGTCATTTTATTCCCTCCATACATTTCCCGAACCCCTGGTCTGATCTGGGTGATTTCTGGATATGTTGTTCACCCAGATCAGGGCTATCAGGGGATGTAGGATTTCAAGGGGTACCCCTACGTTTAGGGGTACATACAGAAACAGGGGGAATTGCTAGACTGGATAAGGGGATTATGATGCAGACTGAGGGGAGGAGATGTGTGGGAGGTTACCAGGACAGGATTGGCTACTGTACTAATGATTGTAAATCCCTCCCTTGCATGGGAGCATGCTTTAAAAGGGCAGTGTGGATTAAAAGATTTCAGTTCTGCTCCTGAAACTGTGTGTTGTCCAGTTATTGGGATTGCTGTGGGATATTGCTGTGTTATTTCGCCTGCTGGAGACCTTGCCTATGGATTTACAATTTACTTGTTCCTGAGCCTCACTTGGATTATAAGCGGAGATACCTGGGGATTATTGCATCTCCGCTACATTTTTTGGCAGCGCTGGGATCCAGACTCACAAGGGAACAAGGACTAATGGAATATGGATGGAGAGTGATTATGCCAAGCTAAAAAGATCCACGCTAAAAGATCTCCTGGAAGCGAAAGGTATTGCAGCAAGCAACAAAAGGAAAGCAACCTTCATTGCAGAAGTGATGGCTGAATACCAGCATGAGGACAGGGTAATCCATGAGCAGCAGAGTTCAGCAGATGGAGCTGAAAAAGAGGAGTTCCAGAGACAGCTGCAGTTTAGGCTGTCCTTTTATGGAGAGAATCCAACAGCGGATATTAAATCCAGGACAATGACAGAGGAGTTTATACTGCGTCAAAGGCCACTACAGCAGCTGGAGAGGAATGCTACCACAGCTACCATCACACATGGTAAGACAAAAATTACTTACCAAGCATTTAAAACATATGTAGAAGCAGAGGAGGATATAGATGCTTTTCTCCAAGACTTTGAAAGACTTTGTGTGCATTGCATAGTATTAGCCCAGACGAGTGGGTGCCTATTTTAGCAGGGAAGCTCACAGGGAAGGCTGCTGAAGCATATAGAACTGTACCTGATGAGGAAATTCGAAATTACCGCAGAGTAAAAGAGGTGATCCTGGCCCGAAATGCAATCATGCCAGAGGCATATCGGCGGCGGTTTAGAGACCTAAAGAGGAATGACAAGGACTCTCATGTGGAATGGGCTTGCAAGTTACATCGGGCCGCCCTGGGGTGGGTACAGTCCAATGGAGGACTTATTACAAATGGTGTTGTTGGAGCAATTTTATGAGGGGGTAACCAGCGATGTCCAGGAATGGGTAAGGGACAGAAACCCTACCTCCCTCACCGAAGCTGCCAGGAAGGCAGATGAGTACCTGGATGCATGCAGGCAGCAGAAACCTGCAGCCCCAAAAGCCACCTTTAAAACATTTGGGGGAAACAACTACAACCCAGCTCCACCGAGACAACTGCCACCACCACCACCGCCCGCTGCACAGCCACGTTTTCGCCAGCCCACTTCTGGCCCCTGTCATCACTGCCAGAAATGGGGACATTATAAAAGGGAATTTCCCCAGCTGAGGAATCGTTCCACCTGGATTCGCCCCGGCCCACCACCACCGCCAAGAGCAGCCGCAGCCCACCACTACCAGGATATAGTGGCAACACCATATGGTTCAGCCGTTCCCATAACAACCGTGGAACAGTGGGAAGTACTGCACGAGGTGGATCCAGTCCAGGCCAATGCTGATAACAGACAGCATCACAGGCAGACCGTATACCTGGAGGGTAAAGCGGTACAAGGACTACGCGACTCAGGGGCTACTATCACCCTGGTAAAGAGTCACCAGGTGTCGGATCAAGCGAAACTGAGTAAAACTGTGGCCGTCAGGGTAGCCGGGGGAGCAGTGTACCGGCTACCTACAGCAAGGGTACATTTACATTGGGGAGTGGGGGCAGGGCATGTGGAGGTGGGGTTGATGCCGCTGTTACCGGCAGAAGTATTATTGGGGAACGATCTGGGGAGGCTCACGTCTGCTTTTGAGCCCCAGACAACCACCACAGGAGAAACTCATCCTGTGGTCACCCATCAACAGGCCCGCACCCAGGACTACAACACACTTCCGCAGGTTCAGGTAAGAGACCCTTCCCCTTCCCTTGACTGTGTTCCCTGGGCCCCTCCTAACGAATTTGCAGTTGAAGTAGTGACTGACCCCACCTTACAGGTGTATAGGGACAAGGTGACAGCAGACGCTCCTGGGGGAGATGGCAAAAGGTTTATCTGGGACAAACAGCTGTTATACAGGGAGACAGATAAGCAGGTAGCCGGGTCAGACCCGATCGTGACGAGACAGTTAGTGGTACCCCAGCGGTACCGGGCCGAGCTACTCCGGATAGCGCATGACATTTATATGGACAAGCCTTTTCCCTGTTCACGGATCACAACCCGTTGGTCTGGCTAAACCGGGTGGCTGGGGACAATGCCAGGCTGCTGCGCTGGAGTTTGGCGCTCCAGCCCTTTGACTTTAATATCCAGTACTGCCCGGGTAAACAGAATGGAAATGCTGACGGGTTGTCAAGACAAACTGACCTGGAGAAATGATCCGTGAGCCTCCCCGGACATCCCCAAGCCGATCCGTATTGGATCAGACTGTGTATGCCGGCTTGTGGGCAAGGGGGAGCAGTGTAGCGGAGGGCCACGAGCTGCCCTGGGACTTACATCATGTTTAAACTGTATGGGTCTATTTGGTAAATGTCTTTGCAGTAAGGGAATGTATTCGGGTGAAATGGCTAAGTTTTACTTGTAAATGTACTGGATTCATCTGAATGTAAGGTAGTTTCATTCCCTTAGTTTGTTCGAATGAAACTACCGAACAGTCAGACCTCCCCTGTGTGAAGTGTGTTCTCAATTACCCGTTTCAACATTGTTGCGAACGGGTAATTGAGAAGGGAAGTAGCCGTCCTTTGTTCTCGGGGGTGGCCGCCATTCGACAAACGAACACGTGGCGGCGGCCATTTTAAAACTCCCGAACAGCGGTGTTTTGCCGTCGAGTGTCTGGAACTCAAATCGGACACTCGACTAGGCGAACACCGCTGAATCCTCCACAAGCCCGGTCCGTTCAGTTCCTAACTACCGAACGGCCCCTCGTTCGGTAGATAGAAAGAACCGAACAAGGGGATTCAGGCGAACTCTCCCTAGCCTCTATAGCTAGAGGCTTTCGTGCAGTTTGTTCCCTTGTTCCAGGACCGACCGCAGGGCCCATTCGCATGGAACCGCATTCGGCTATCTCAGTCAGTGCGGTCGGTCATTTTATTCCCTCCATACATTTCCCGAACCCCTGGTCTGATCTGGGTGATTTTTGGATATGTTGTTCACCCAGATCAGGGCTATCAGGGGATGTAGGATTTAAAGGGGTACCCCTACGTTTAGGGGTACATACAGAAATGGGGGGAATTGCTAGACTGGATAAGGGGATTATGATGCAGGCTGAGGGGAGGAGATGTGTGGGAGGTTACCAGGACAGGATTGGCTACTGTACTAATGATTGTAAATCCCTCCCTTGCATGGGAGCATGCTTTAAAAGGGCAGTGTGGATTAAAAGATTTCAGTTCTGCTCCTGAAACTGTGTGTCGTCCAGTTATTGGGATTGCTGTGGGATATTGCTGTGTTATTTTGCCTGCTGGAGACCTTGCCTATGGATTTACAATTTACTTGTTCCTGAGCCTCACTTGGATTATAAGCGGAGATACCTGGGGATTATTGCATCTCCGCTACAATAGCTGATAAATTTGCAAAAAGAGCAGCTTCAACTGGTGAAAATGCAGTGCAGACAGAGCCTATGTCAGTAGCAGTGGCTAGAAAGACTAACACACAACCTCCATCTTTTGCAGAAGAACAGGCAAAGGATTCGTCCCTTGCGGCTTCTCGGGTTGATCCAAAACCTCCATTTGTTCATGAGAACGGGGTTTTGTGTCATGACCAAAACTGAGAACTGTGTCCGGTCATGCCAGAACATCTAAAAGTGTTATTTACACAATATAATCATGAAAGTTTAGGTCATATTGGACAGCAGAAACTGTTAGAGGTACTCAGAAATAAGTTTTATTGGGATAACATGGAAAAGACTGACAACAGGTAATTCAATCATGTTTGATATGTGCACAAATAAATCGCTGACCTAAAGGACAAAAAACACCTATACAACGTATAGCACCTGCAAATGGTCCTTGGACTACTTTACAAATTGATTTTATTGGGCCATTACCAACAGGTAAGAATGGATTAAAATATGCGTTAGTAGTTGTGGATGTATTCTCTAAATGGTTAGCAGTAATTCCACTGACTAAATATGATTCCCAAAAAACGGCTGAAGCATTATGGACACACATTTTCTCAAGATGGGGATTTCCTAGACTTCTAGAGTCAGACAGAGGTACCCATTTCACAGGGAAAATCATGCAAGCACTGTGTGCTATTCTAGGCATAGAGCAAAGATTCCATGTTCCATATCATCCACAATCTGCTGGGATTGTGGAACGTATGAATCGAACATTGAAATCTAGACTTTCAAAAATGTTACTTGAGAAAGGCAACACATGGGTACAGTCACTTCCTACTGTACTTATGGGTATTAGAGGCACTATGTCGTCAGCTACATACACTTCATTTGAATTGATGACAGGCAGGAAAATGCAGTTGAATTTTCCTAATGAACCATACTTGTCTACCCCACAGAAAGATGCAATTGCTAAAAATAAATGGTTGCAAATGCTGCAGGAAAATTTGGAGCAAATTCTTCCACATACAGCTACTCGTATGTGTAAAATGACACCTCCTGATTTTTCAAAGTTTTTAAAGGGGGGTATGTCCATGATAAAAACTTTTAGGAAAACTGGACCTTGGGAGGCAAACTGAGAAGGTCCTTATAACATAACAGATACAATGGGGCAAACAATGGTACAAGTGCAAAGACCTCTTGATGGTTCATGAAATAAACGGAGGCAAAATTGTTTTTGGCTTCATGCAGATCAGTGCAAATTGTATAAACCTACAACATAATTTGATAATATATTGATACTGCTTTGTTTTTCTTAGTTTATTTTAGATAATTTGTAAGCAGACCTACAGACGAAAGTTGGCCAGTAACAGAAGATGTGTTTGCAAAGACAACCGTGTAGCAGAAAGAAGTTGTTCGTCAGCATCCTGCTAACATTGATGACTACAGTTCTTGTAATAGTTCTTTTTAAGATTAACAAAACGACTTTCAATCAGGAGTTAAAGAATGACTTATTGGGAAATATTAAAAAAAAGAGAGACAATGAACAAGTTTTAAAAGGCATGTTTGTTTCGGGACAAAAGATCTACAAGTATGCAATGTGCTAATTAAATTCACAGGAGATAGTGTTATTAATTTAAACATTACAATAGGTCCTAATGATTTATTTAGTTGGACCAAAGGTTCATTTGTACAAGACAATGTAAAAACAGGATCATGGGAACTTAACATATTACAAAATGCATATATCATGATTGTAGTTAATGGAGAGGAAATGGTAAATTGGTCAGGTGACATGTATGTGAACGTTGCACAAACTTCAGTAACAACATGAGGACGAGGTGGTGAGGTACTTTATACAATTCAATATTGGCTTATACATTTAGAGCCAGAATTCCTGTTACAAAATAATACTCCGGGTATACCTTGGATATGGGAAATACAAGCATCTAGGCAATCGTTTCTGGTAACTGATTATGTTATGCAAGATATTATAATGAAGCCTAGTCTTGTAGATATCCAGGAAGGAAAGGAAAGACTTAGATTAACATGTAGTACACATACAAGTTTACCCTCTGAGTCTGTAATGACATGGAAAAGGGAAGGAATGTTTTTGGGTAGTATTTCACATACAACGCCAAAGGTTAATCACAGAGGTGTACTAGGAAAGGTGGATTGGTCGGAAGAAATGTTTGTTTTCTATTTAGACAATCCTACCTACAGTGATAGTGGAAACTATCAACGTTGTATATTGTTAAGAAATCATCACGAGAGATGTGGTGATGTTAAGGTAAATGTGTTCTCCCCCAGAATGGTAGAAAGCAAAAATAAGGTTTTTAAGTTATCAAGTCCCTCTCAATTGAATCATTTTCAATCAAAGCCTTTGTTATTAGATGGGAAATTTGCAACAATAGTTTGGCATTTTAATGTTTCTCAGTGGAAAATCTCAAGTAAATTTTCCACAATGTAAGGAACATTTATTAAATATGGAACGAGGCTTAGAACATTGGTTTGGAGGAAGTAAAGTATCAAACAGGAAAAAAAGAGATATAGTAAGAAGGAATTATGGCTGGATTTGGTACTACAGGAAGTATCACTAATTCTATGGATATTCAAACATTAAATAATGATTTAGGAACTGTAGGGTTAATAGGGGGGAAAGGATTGCATATTCAAAGAGGTTTAAATCAAATATTGAAAAATATGGTTATGAACACAGCCTCTGTTATTGCACCCTCTGTTCAACATTTACAGGAAGCTACTTTGGCATTAATGAGAAATGCAGATTCATCCCAGGTAGCCAAAGCTTGTTTAGATATACCATTTGAATATTCTACAGATTTTAAGGTGATGGCACAAGCATTACAAGGTGGTGTTACTCCTATAGAACTCAAACGTAGTTTACCTGAGGAGTTTGCGTTCGCTAAAAATCATACAGATTTATGGGTTAACAAATGGTTGGGATGTAACAATGATATATGTATAAGTTCTTCTTTAATATCAATTTCTGGTATTGAAAAAACACTATTTTCGGTATTAGGAATTCCTATTAGTAACACACAATTATTATTTTATAAATTACAATATCCTGATTTTGTATCTTATAATAACATTACTGAACTTGAGCAGGTAGATCTTTCTAGTTGTCTACATTTTGCATCCAAAATAATATGTTTAAATAACCAAGTTGAAACAATTTATCATTCATATTTTCATAACCAAAGTTCATGTTCCGGTTAAATTAAAACAGTTAAAATCCTCATGAAATTGTAACTCCCATAGACAAAGACAGTATGTACAGGTTATGTCAAATAAGAGCTACATTTTCAGAATGTACACATTCAGAAACATTACTGAAAGGGTTATATTGTATCAATAGGGGTCCACTAATAATACATATATAAGGAACTCAAGTTAATATATCGAAGAGTCCTATACAAGTGATAGATATCATGCCTATTCAATTAAATGTTTCACAAACAAATGAGTTTCCATGGAGAAAGTGGGCAGATGAGATTAGGAAAGACAAGATATTATTATATTCGTTACAAAAACAGTTGAAAGAAACATAAATTCAATTTGAACATGAACAGGGTAAATTGTAGATTATGCTAGCTTTAGTGTACCTATAATCTTAATTTTATTAATGACAGGAGGCGAGTATTTGCTTTAGTCTCTCTTTACTAGAACTACACAGCAGCACAGAAAAACAACCAATCAGAAAAAAGTTAGGTACTATAAAACCCCCTTCCCATTGCATCATTTCCTCTTTCAAGCTGCGACAAAACAGAACAAAGGCAGAAAAAATAATGGGAAGCAACGAAGTCCAGATACGATGAATACAGCAATGTCCAACGGCAGAAGAACTGTCAACCGGATAGCGTTGATGGACTGAAAATAAGTCAATGCCCACCATCCACGAAGAAGCGCCACACCAGATAGTGCTGAAGGACTGGAAACTGAAACGAGAGAAAAACAGAATCGAAGAGGTTGATTATCCAATGAAATGTATTTTGAATAAACTTGTAGATACCCAATGTAGCCAAACAAAATTACCTTAATATGTAGATATCCCAACCCTACTTATGAAAAACAGACATAAGGACAGCTGACAGGTAGCAGAAACAACAAGCAGAGTTGTATACGTACCTGATTAATCCAAACTATAAAATTAAACAAGGGAGGGATAAGAATGGGTGGGAAATACTCGCCTCCTGTCATTAATAAAATTAAGGTACACTAAAGCTAGCATAATCTACAATTTTATAACATGACAGGAGGCTTCGTATTTGCTGTTTTAACGCTCAGCCGACAAATCCAACGCTGCTTGTTTCACTGGTACCCATTCCGAGAATATTAGAGCAATCCTAAATCGACCTTCCAACTGCGAGAAGTGACCTCCGTTGATAGATCCATTGTACGTGGGGTTATGACCTGTTCCCTAGCAGTTGGTCCATGGGCCAAGTTGACCTATTAGCCATATTCCTGTAGGTGTAAAGTGCCGAGGGGTCGCGAGAAGAGACTTCCACCGTGTCTCGACTCTTGATGTGAGAGGTGATTCCTCTGATCGTGTCAGGTTCACCAGGCAATGTGGCCTTGCAGACAAACTCCAACCTCAGGCCTGCGCCTAAGTCCACCGTCAATACTCGAATAGAACCGAATAGTGTCTATTCGTTCCTTTATGACCTACCTGGTGAATTGTCTCCTCCAAAATAAAGTTATATACAGATAATAGTGTGGACAATACTAGCCGTATCCTAAGAGACTCCAGTCTACCAACTGGACGGCGTAATCCACGGCTGCGGTCTAGAAAAGACATCCAAAAGGCGTCCAATCAAGGTCTCAAACTGAACTCGTGTGGTAAATGGTGGTCAACTATTCTGGGAATTGTGGATCCTGGAAATCTCAAAAGGATGGGACCGGAAACCGGGGTTGAGATTTCCATCCAAATACATCGTCCTCTAAGAGTGCTAAGATGGCCGGATCCAATAGAGTTTAGGACCGTATAACACAGAAGAGCCCTTACGTGTTGCAGTGAGTGTGAGATACTCTGATTACCATTTGTACAATCCTGTTCCATGCCCGACCTGTCAATATTCGTGTAGGGGTTCCTGGCCTACACGCCACCTACAAGATAGGGAATGATATAGTGAGACCCCTAGGTTCCTGTCTCATAGACTGTCCAAGCATGTATCTCCCAGTGTAGGTTTCCTTGATGGTAGTTGAATAGGAAGGTGTGACGAGACCAATCTCGCCACATTGCATTGGAGAAGCCTGGTTGCTCGCCTGCTGCCTTTGGACTATGGCCCCCTTTTAAAAGACTTTATTTTTCCATGCAGAAAAGCCATATTCATGCTTTTCTGCCGGTTGTTCGGTAGTTTCAATCTACCGAACAACCGTACGAATGACTGGACCACCTGGGAGCTGGAGTGTGCCGGCAATTAACCTCCCTGAAGCTGCGGTTAACCGCAGCTTAATTGATGAACGCTGGGTGGCCGCCGTTCGTATCCCGAACACGAGGTCGCGGCCATTTTAAACCATACGAATGAACAGCGGTGTTCGCCTCTATTTTTATGGAACTAAAATCGGACACAGTTTTGCGCGAACACCGCTGAAGCCGCCGACCTCCCTTCTTGTTCGGTGAAAGCACACGAATGACCCGGTGTTCGGTATTTTTGTGTGAATGTCTTATACCCCAGATAGGAATCCCATGGAGCCCATTCGTATGAAACTGACTGTAAAGACTTTGGCTCCATGGCGATTAAACTGTATTCGTGTGGTCTGAGTGCCATTCACCTAATAATGTGCACTCAGACCTGAGCTATCTGGGGATATGTTACATGTCTGTGGTTTATGTAGTAAATGTTACTTTGTGCATTTTAAAGTGTTATGCTGGTTTTGTGTTCCCACGTGTGTAATGGAGTTTTGCCTTTGTCTTGGGAGATAATTGAGTTACTTCCCAATTATCTCCCAGGGCAGAGGGGAGGTAGCCAGGATGCATTGTGGGAATATACTGTGACTGTGTGTCCTATTTGTATACTTGTCTGTCCCTTGTCACAGTCTTCCATCTGGTCCCCTAGGGGAGTGTCCACCAGGTGGGAGACCTGCATAAAAGCCGGGCAGGTAGCCCTCATTAAACAGACCACTGCTTGACCCTCAACACGGAGCCTTGTCTCGTCTTTGGGGGGATTTACTGTATGCTGCTAAGGACTGATTGCCAGGAGTGTAAGCCGCTTGGAAGCTTTTCCTGTTCGCCTGCTAGCAGCTATTCGTATGGTTCCTGTTCGTTTATTTGAAGTGTTACCTTATTCCCTTGTATGCCGTTCGGGAGTTTGGAGCATTCACTTATTGGCGGTTCGTGAGTTTTGGTGATTCTACAGTAGCTGTGCCTGGCTCTGAAAGGGGGATTATCGTCTAAGCGGTTTTTTCCCCTTTTGTGCAAAACGGTCCGTTACAATTGGTGGCAAGCGGCGGGATCGTTCCCACGGACTACAGGACAGCTACAGGAGACACCATTCCGTGGATTTACAATTTGAGGGCAACGCATGTCTGAGTACAGCGACCCTGACAGCAACAGCATGGAACCAGCAGTGTCATACGAGGAGGAGGACCTGGATGGCCGGGATGCATTAAGGAAAGGCATCTGGTACCAGGCCCTGGATAATGTACAGTACCAGCGGGGTGAGAGTCTCCCCAGTGAAGAGCAGCGGTTGCAGAAGCAAGTGGCCCTGCGGATGCCCTTCCTGGGAGAGCAGCCCCTAGATGAATGGGTGAAGGAATTGGAGCACCGGGTATGGCAGGAGATTTGGCTGGAAGATGCATACCAGGCGCTCTGGTGGTATGGGGCACAGTACCTGCCCTGGACAGCCGAGCATGACAAGCCAGAGGGAGAGGAGTTTAATGGTCCTGGCTTGTTATGGGAGGCTTTTTCAGAGCCTGAATTTGGGAGCCCTACACAAGCCCGGTTCAGTGATCTCTTGGAGTGGAGGGAGAGCAGGTATGACTGGGACGACACTCACGACATTGAGCAAGACCTGGCTCACCTAGCAACCCTGGAGTGGGAACTGGAGCAGGACTACCGAGATCTCTTCCACTCCATTGAGAAGATTCAGCAGGACAGCAAGATGACAGAGCCAGAACCAGACCCATTCAGCTGGGAAGACATTGTGGATATTTTCTGGGAAGAACCCCAGGTGGCCGGTAGAGATGGGACCGAGGTCTCTCCACCGGTCCTGCAGGGAATTGGGAGCCCAGTCTCCATTCCCCAGCGGCCGTGTGATTTATTGGGAATTGGGAGCCCAGTCTCCATTCCCCAGCGGGAGATATTGCAGGGAATTGGGAGCCTGAGCTCCATTCCCCAGCGGCAGGCTGAGTTACAGGGGACAGAGATAGTCGCTCCTGTCCCCCAGCAGCAGAATGAATTGCAGGGAATTGGGAGCCCGAGCTCCATTCCCCAGCGGGAGAAATTGCAGGGAATTGGGAGCCCGAGCTCCATTCCCCAGCGGGAGATATTGCAGGGAATTGGGAGCCTGAGCTCCATTCCCCAGCGGCAGGCTGAGTTACAGGGGGCAGAGGTAGTTGTTCCTGCCCCCCAGCAGCCAAGTGATATGCCGGGAAGGCAGTGGGAAGTCCAGGGAGAGGAGAGCAGTGTCCTCCCTCCCCAGCGGCAGCGTGATTTTTTGGGAATTGGGAGCCCAGTCTCCATTCCCCAGCGGCAGAATGATGCTTTGGGAATTGGGAGCCCAGTCTCCATTCCCCAGCGGCAGTATGATGCTTTGGGAATTGGGAGCCCAGTCTCCATTCCCCAGCGGCAGTATGATGCTTTGGGAATTGGGAGCCCAGTCTCCATTCCCCAGCGGCAGCACAGATCATTGGGAATTGGGAGCCCAGTCTCCATTCCCCAGCGGCAGAGTGTCCTACCGGGAATAGAGAGCCCAGTCTCCTTTCCCCAGCAGCAGGACTCTGTATTGGGAGCAGAGACAGTCGGTCTCCCTCCCCCACAGCTGGAAGTATGTATGGGAGAGGAGCTTGTTACCCCCTCTCCCCAGCGGCAGCTTAATGTACAAAGGGGAGACAGTAAGCCCCACAACCGTGCAGATGGGACCGTAGTCTCTACACTGCCAGCACAGGGGGTAGGGACGGTCGGTCCTGCCCCCCAGCGACAGGGCTGTTTAGCCAAAGGGGAGACAGTCGGTCTCCCCCTCCAGCAGCAGAGATGGGTAACCAAAGGGGAGACGGTCGGTCTCCAGCAGCAGGACTGTGCATCTAAAGGGGAGACAGTCAGTCTCCAGCAGCAGCAGCAGAGCGGTGTATTTAAAGGGGAGACAGTCGGTCTCCCCCTCCAACAACCAGGCTTCCACCAGGCTACCCTCCCAGTAGCGCTGGCAACAGGGCAGAGTGCCGCTGGTCTCTGCCCACGCAGCAACCCACCAAGTCAGCGTACCCGTACCCAGCACAGCCGTGGTGAGGCACCTGGACATGGACAAGCTTCCCCTTTACCCAGGTGTAGTAACCATTTATTGTGGGTGGGCTGTGCTGTTGATTATTTGTTGTGGGTGGGCTGCTGGACTAACAAGGGCACTGACCGGCAGGAGGTCAGATACCCTGTTAGTCTGTTTGGAAAAGGGGAGAGATGTGACGAGACCAATCTCGCCACATTGCATTGGAGAAGCCTGGTTGCTCGCCTGCTGCCTTTGGACTATGGCCCCCTTTTAAAAGACTTTATTTTTCCATGCAGAAAAGCCTGTATTCGTGCTTTTCTGCCGGTTGTTCGGTAGTTTCAATCTACCGAACAACCGTACGAATGACTGGACCACCTGGGAGCTGGAGTGTGCCGGCAATTAACCTCCCTGAAGCTGCGGTTAACCGCAGCTTAATTGATGAACGCTGGGTGGCCGCCGTTCGTATCCCGAACACGAGGTCGCGGCCATTTTAAACCATACGAATGAACAGCGGTGTTCGCCTCTATTTTCATGGAACTAAAATCGGACACAGTTTTGCGCGAACACCGCTGAAGCCGCCGACCTCCCTTCTTGTTCGGTGAAAGCACACGAATGACCCGGTGTTCGGTATTTTTGTGTGAATGTCTTATACCCCAGATAGGAATCCCATGGAGCCCATTCGTATGAAACTGACTGTAAAGACTTTGGCTCCATGGCGATTAAACTGTATTCGTGTGGTCTGAGTGCCATTCACCTAATAATGTGCACTCAGACCTGAGCTATCTGGGGATATGTTACATGTCTGTGGTTTATGTAGTAAATGTTACTTTGTGCATTTTAAAGTGTTATGCTGGTTTTGTGTTCCCACGTGTGTAATGGAGTTTTGCCTTTGTCTTGGGAGATAATTGAGTTACTTCCCAATTATCTCCCAGGGCAGAGGGGAGGAAGCCAGGATGCATTGTGGGAATATACTGTGACTGTGTGTCCTATTTGTATACTTGTCTGTCCCTTGTCACAGTCTTCCATCTGGTCCCCTAGGGGAGTGTCCACCAGGTGGGAGACCTGCATAAAAGCTGGGCAGGTAGCCCTCATTAAACAGACCACTGCTTGACCCTCAACACGGAGCCTTGTCTCGTCTTTGGGGGGATTTACTGTATGCTGCTAAGGACTGATTGCCAGGAGTGTAAGCCGCTTGGAAGCTTTTCCTGTTCGCCTGCTAGCAGCTATTCGTATGGTTCCTGTTCGTTTATTTGAAGTGTTACCTTATTCCCTTGTATGCCGTTCGGGAGTTTGGAGCATTCACTTATTGGCGGTTCGTGAGTTTTGGTGATTCTACAGTAGCTGTGCCTGGCTCTGAAAGGGGGATTATCGTCTAAACGTTTTTTTCCCCCTTTTGTGCAAAACGGTCCGTTACAGAAGGCTAGTGAGAACCCAAATCAAGATGGTCCCATGATGGATTTAGAGTCCGAAAACTGTTCTCAAGATGTGTTCAGAGTTGTAGGAGCAGTCCTGCCAACTTTATCTCAAGATTGTAAGGACCAGGGAAGCCAAGTCCTAAAAATTTCGGTTTCTCCATGCGATCCATGCATACGGTGCACCTGAAGACCGTTTATGTGAATTTTCCAGTCTTGTTACTCAAGCAAGGCAGTGCCCATTTGCCCTATGCAGGTCTCAGAATCTCATGTCACCCTGACACGGGAGAATAGTCTGCACAGTTTGTACACAATGAATATCTGAAACAGAGTGCAATGTCTGTTTGATATAGCACAGGTTATACCAAAACCTGTACTCTTGTAAGAACTGAGGCTCCTCCTTAGCCGTACAGTCTCCCGGAATGTGTGTACATAAGTGCGAAACCTCCCCCACTAATACCTCTGAGGGCATTTCTCATGTGGATTACAAGATGGATCCAGACAAACTATGTATACCTTGCACGATCAGGTAACCCTCTAGAACGAAATCAGTAGCGCGGTCATCATATTTAAATTGGATGTAGGAGGGACGCCCCTCTATGCGGTCATAGTTGACCTGTACAGGTACAAGCCTGTGTGAGGAACAAATGGACGGCACCATAGTGCGTTGAGTGTATGAGAGAGTCGCACTCTGTAAAATGTGATCGCACTCTGAGTCCGCTCACGGTTGGTGGTATGAGCGGGCCGCACCCGTTAGACGTCAAACTTAGAGTCTACCTCTGTGTCCAGTTCCTTCTATGAGAATGAGTCACTCGGAGCATGTCCTCTATATCCAGCTCAGTATTGGGCCGAGGTTGAGGGAGGGCCACGCCCTCTAATAATGAATCAGTGTCCGATTCGGTAAATGAGAGTGGTTCGCCCTCTACTCTTGAAAATAAAAATATCAGTCTCGGGCCGAGGTGAAGGAGGGCCGCACCCTCTGTAATCCAAACCAGAGTCCAGTAGAGACTCAGGGTGACCAAACGTGGGGTTACACCCTTATTTAATATAAGCAAAGTATACAACCTCGGGCCATGTCCGACCTTAAGAGAAAGGGGTGATGAGAAAAGTACGTTTCGGAGCTGAAGATGGTAACTATCAACGGACCGCCCGGATCCCGTGCGTGCGCGCAGGCTCCAGGATGACCGTCGGTAGTCTGAGGAAAGCTGGAGACGTTCTCCGCAATCCACAAGTGCCCGGGAGGTCAGAGGAGGTCAAGTCAGGCATCTCAACGACCCGAGCAATAGGACAATAGAAGGCACGAAAACAAAGAAACGACCAATGAAGTAGAAAGTGGAAAATACGTACCTCGGAAAGCAGGTCGGATAGCAGAACTGGAAAAAACGAATCAAGTGAATCCAGTTGAAAAGGTCAGGAGCTAAACATGACATAGAAAAACACTACCAATACCTAATATGGCGTCTGAGCACTGTTCCCTGCTTGTGCGAAATTCCCATTGGAGATGTGTCGTCGTTGGGTATAACCCGTAATTGCGTTCCCGGGAATTCTCATAAAAACTTTGCCCTTCAGGGCATGAAGTGTAGGGTCTTCACCCCTCCAATCACAGTTAGATGTCCATATCCCGGTGTCCTCTTGGATAATCTGGCAGCAGTGTCTGTCGGGACACCCACCTAGAGGGTACTGTGCTTACTTAAAATAAAATTCCTGAACCTCTGAACTGATCTGAGTGATTTCTGGATATGTGGTCATCCAGATCAGGGCTATCAGGGGATGTAACAGTAGTGGAGACATTATGTGTTTTTGGGGTACTTTTGGTTTTTTTTCTGCCTGGAGATAATTATGTATCTGACCCAATTATCTCCCAGGCAGAGGGGAGGGACTGTATGTTTACTATGGGAGTGTCCTACATTGTAACTCTGTCATTATTGGTTTGTAATTTTGTATTGTAGTCCACAACAAGATCCATGTGGGCGTACCCCTTGCATGGGGATTGTCATATAAGGCCAAGTGTGGCACCATTAAACCAGTCCAGCTTTAACCTCAACATAGAGTCTTGCCTTGTGTTTGTAGGGACCTGCTATACAAGCTATAACCACTAGCTCTTATAAGAGCTTCACAGCTATACTCTCTTGGAGAAGAGGCCTTCCTACTGGGAGCTGGAGCCAGGATTTTGGTCCAGGGTGGGTAGGGATGGTGAGACCCCAGCTAAGCTGCAGCGGCCAAGGGGCCTACAGTGCTGATGGTGTCTGGTTGGAGTCCTCGGTGAGCACTAGGAGCATCGATTGGCAGAGGCACCCAGAAAGGGGGGCACTAAGGGACAGGGAGGTCCAGGGGGTGGGGGAGGAACACTAAGGGGAAGGGAGGGGAGAGGGCCACTAAAGGGGAGGGAGTGGAACACTAAGGGGCAAGGAAGGGGGGACACATTAAGGGACAGGGAAGAAGGGGGAACCACAGAGGGACAGGTAAGGGGGAGAGGACCACTAATGGACAGCGAAGGGGTGACACATTAAGGGACAGGGAAGAGGGGGCGGTAACCACTAAGGGACAGGGAAGGGGGCACACACTAAGGGACAGGGAAGGGAGAGGACACATTAAGGGACAGGGACAGGGAAGGGAAGGGAGAGGACCACTAAGGGGGTGGGGGAGGAACACTTAGGGGAAGGGAGGGGAGAGGGCCACTAAGAGGGGAAGGAGATAAACACTAATTGTCAGGGAAGGGACACGCACACTAAGGGACAGGAAAGGGAGGGGAGAGGACCACTAAGGGACAGGGAAGGGGGGTACACTAAGGACAGGAAATGGAGGGAAGAGCATCACTAAGGGATAGGAAAGGGGGACACACGTTAAGGTAAAGGGAAGCCGGGGGCATGTTACAAATGCTGGTATGGTAGATACCCATTCGCCTATTTCCTCCCGAACTACTGAAGCCTGAGTGATTATAGCTTGCAGTTCGGGTGTAGATTTGAATGGTTCCAGACGAATGCAACATCCAAGTAGTTTCTCCCCAGCAAGTAGACAGTTACCCAAACAACAGCCTAGACTAGATGAAGTATACAACCGGAATGAAGTTTAATGGTGCCACACTGGCTTTTATGCAAGTCCCCATGCTAGGGGCACTCCTACATGGACCTTGTAGGGGACGCCAACACAAAGTTAACAACCAATTACAACAAAGTTAGAAATTATGACACTCCCCTATACATCACACAATCCCTCCTCTCTGCCTGGGAGGTAATTGAGTCAGATACTGAACTGGGAGATAATTGAGTCAGATGCTGAAATAACTCAATTATCTCTAGACAGAAAAAATTTTTTTTCCATAAAACTTAAAAAGTACCCCAAAACACATAAAATCCCCATAAATGTTATATCGCCTGATAGTCCTGATCTGGGTGACCAACATATCCAAAAATATGTCTTAATTTGACCGACCGCACACAAAGCTCCTATCCAGAAATAGTTCCATGAGTTTACGTTGTGCAGTCGTCTATTTCGGAAAGTCTTGAAACTAGAGTTGAGCGAACCCGGACTGTAAAGTTCGGGTTCATACCGAACATTAAGCTTTTTGGACCCTGGACCCAAACATGGACATATCAGTGTATGTTCAGGCTGGAGTTCGGTATTCGCCGATTTAATGGTGCATTTTGAAAGGCTGCAGGGCAGCCAATCAACAAGTGTTTCACTCATGTGCCCTTAGAAGCCATCACAGTCATGCCTACTAATGGCATGGCCGTGATTGGCCAGTGCAGCATGTGACCCAGCCTTTATATATAAGCTGGAGTCGCGTAGCGCCGCACGCACATGAGCTCTTATTAGTGTAGCGAGAGGATGTTGCAGCTGTGAGGGACAGATTAGGAAAGAATTCTGGTGAAAACAACAGCGATTATTTTTGTGGATGCTATAATACTAAATTATTGTACCCTGCTCTATGCCCAGTGCCACAGAGAGTGCAGTGCACTTGCAACTGCATGTGTACCAGGCATATTACTTTAAACCTGTTCTGGTAGCTTAGTGGGCAACATCTAGTCATTTTTAAATACTGCAATTTTTTTTGTGCTAAAAAGTACATTTGCGTACTGCATTTCTTGCAGTCCAATAAAACCCTTAAATACTACTGTTACATTGTTTGTTTAAAAAAAAAGCAAACTTTTTGGTGCTAAATAGTACATTTGCGAACAGCGGTGCACTTCATATCTGAGAGTCAAATAGAACTGTCAAATACTGTGCTTACAGCGCAGTTTTAAAAATTCACATTTTTTTGTGCTAAATAGTACATTTGGTGCCTGCACTTCATAGTTACATAGTTACATAGCTGAAAAGAGACTTGCGTCCATCAAGTTCAGCCTTCCTCACAAATGTTGTTGCTGTTGATCCAAAAGCAGGCAAAAAACCTGGTCTAAAAGCGCTTCCAATTTTGCCACAAACTAGGAAAAAATTCCTTCTTGACCCCAAAATAGCAGTCAGATGTCTCCTTGGATCAAGAAGCTATTACCCCACTAATTAGAAATTATATGCCTGTATGTTATGTTTTTGTAAGTATTTATCCAATTTCAGTTTAAACATCTGTATGGACTCTGACAAAACCACCTCTTCAGGCAGAGAATTCCATATCCTTAGTGTTCTTCCTGTAAAAAATCCTTTTCTTTGCCTTAGATGAAATCTCTTTTCTTCCAGCCTAAATGTGTGACCTCGTGTCCTATGTAAAGCCCTGTTTACGAATAGATTTCCAGATAAAGGTTTGTACTGGCCCCGAATATATTTGTATAAAGTTATCATATCCCCTCTCAGGCGCCGTTTTTCCAAACTAAACAGATTTAATTTTTTAACCTTTCTTCATAACTAAAATGCTCCATTCCTTTTATCAATTTTGTAGCTCGTCTCTGGACCCTCTCCAGTGCCGTGATAGCCTTCTTTAGAACAGGCGCCCAAAATTGCACAGCATATTCAAGGTGTGGGTTTACCAGCGATTTATAAAGAGGCAAAATTATATTTTCATCCCGAGAATTTATGCCCCTATTTATACATGACAAAATCTTACTGGCCTTAGCAACTGCAGATTGACATTGCATATTGCTGCCTAATTTGTTGTCTATAACAATTCCCAAATCCTTCTCGTGTGTGGTTATCCCTAATTAACTACCATTTAGTGTGTAAGTTGCTTGTGCATTCTTAACCCCGAAGTGCATAACTTTGCATTTCTCTATATTAAATTTCATCTGCCATTTTAGTGCCCAGTCCCCCAATCTATCCAAATCTCTCTGCAGCGAAGCAATATCCTGCTCAAATTTTATTACTTTACAAAGTTTTGTGTCATCTGCAAACACTGATACATGTCTTTCAATGCCTATTTCAAGATCATTTATAAATATGTTAAATAGAAGTGGTCCCAAAACAGAACCCTGAGGGACACCACTTACCAGTTTTGTCCAGCCTGAAAATTTAACTTTTGTCCAGCCTGAAAATTTACCATTAATTACAACTCGTTGTACTCTATCCTTAAGCCAATGTTCTACCCAAGAACAAGAATATTCATCAAGACCAATTTCTTTTAGTTTGAAGACTAACCTATTGTGAGGAACCGTATCAAATACCTTGGCAAAATCCAAGTAAATCACATCCACTGCAACACCCTGATCTATACTTCTACTTATTTCTTCGTAGAATGCAATTAGGTTAGTTTGACATGACCTATGTTTCATAAAACCATGCTGATTATTGCTAATAACAAAGTTCTTCCCAATGAATTCCTGAATATTATCCCTTAATAGCCCTTCAAATATTTTCCCAGTTACAGAAGTTAAGCTCACAGGTCTATAATTTCCAGGCAAGGATTTTGAACCCTTTTTAAATATAGGAACAACATCTGCCTTCCTCCAATCCTCTGGTACAACACCTGAAACAAAAGAATCTTGAAAAATTAAATTATAGTGATCGCTTCATATACAGAAGCATTAATATACATTTCTATATTGTGTAAAGACACAGCTACAAATTTAAAAACCAAACACCAAAGCAACGTGCCAGACAATCTACCTGTGCATGGCTAGTGTGATACAATAAGTCTACATCTTAAAAATGCAATAACCCACAGAAGATGGGCAAGTATTTTTTTTTGCAAATGGAACTTTGATTCAAATTTACTACATCGGTCACTTGTAATATTGTTTCACACCTACAACATATGTTACACAGATCTAAGTGATAGAATACAGATTGATATTTTCTACACTAGAAACTACCAGATAACAAGCTGCTATATTTAAACCAGTTATCAATAGCTAAGAGGTACTTAAATAATATTGTAATTCAGGGGCAATACCCTCACAAGTCAAACTGAGAGGTCAGTGTGACAAACTGCCATTTGCCACTGGGCATTGGAGAGGGCTGCTTGCCCACCTCCTACCTTCTGACTATGGCCCTGGGATATATGGCATTTGAAAACACTATTTGTGCCCTGTGACAAAACTGGAGATTGTGCACAAATATGACTATTGTCCAAATTTTTTTTGATTCCCTTCGTTTGTTGCACTGTTCCCCATGTGTTTCATCTGTTGGTTCGGCTGGATAGATTACCAGACAAACTGTGGAGTTACTGGGTGGCCACCATTTCATGTATCAGAGGCATATGGTGAGAACAATAGATGAAACACATGGTGAGAACAATGGATGGCGGCCATTTTAACTCGGTGCTTCTCGCCGGTATTTGGTGCACAAAGACATCGTTCAGTAGTTTTAAACTACAGAACAGGGACACATTTAACAGTAATTATTTTTCATATAGCCTGTATATGTTCTGCATTAAACCGTATCTTCCAAACTACTGAATGGATCTGGGTGAATTTTGGATATGTGGTTCACGCAGATCCCCCAGTTCCGATTATATATTTATGGGGTTATTGCATGTTTTGGGGTCCCTGTGATATGTTTTATAAAATTGTATTTTCCTGGAGGATTTCCGATGTAATGAATGGGAGTGTTAGCTGTGTTGTAATTTGTTGATTATTTGTTCTTCAAAACCCTGTGGGCAGTACTATGTTTGTAGAATGTGAATAAAATAGGCTGTATGTGCCCCTACAGTCAGTTCTTCTTGACCCTCAACACGTAGTCATGTCTCGTGATTGGAGGGGACAGCTATACTCACACTGGGGATTGCTATGCTCTGCATACTCCCCTGAGCTTTAATCACTTAGCTCTTTTAAGAGCTTGTTCCTGATATGCTCTCCTGGAGGAAAGGTCTTCCCCACACGGTCCTGGAGGACAGAAGCTGATCCAGGGTGGACAGAAGTCAGCGAGACTCCAGTTAAGCTACGGCGGTTGTGGAGTCTGCTGTGGTTGTGGTGTCCGGTGCAGTGCTTGTGGTCCTCGGCGCAAGCTAGGAAGCATCCATCAATGGAAGGTACTCGGTCGGAGTACAGGGAGTTCCGTTACAGTCAGTTTATAGGGAAAACTGTTGCCTGGATACAATTCTGAAACAATTTACATATGTCCTTTGCAGACTTTGCTGGAAAAACACAGGTGCCAACTGCTGTGGCTTTCTGCAGTGTGCAGACCGGCAAGGAGGGCAGGGTTAAGGAGTGGGTGGAAGATGATGTGGAGGATGATGAGGTCCTATACCCCACATGGAATGAAGGTCATGCGAGTGACATGTGCAGTTTGGAGGAAGAGGCGGTGGTAGCACAGAGGCACCAGCACAGCATAAGAGGGAGCAAGGTGCAAAAGCGGAGTGGCCGTCCCCTAGCTCTCGTCGGCATGTATTAGCTCTAGAATTACCACAGTTATCCAAGTAACAGATGGAGCGATCAAAGGAACCATAACTGATTTAATGAGCCATTCGCAGTTTCACTGTAGCGGCTGTGCGTGCATCCGGCGTTCTCACCAAGCTGCTGCTCGCCTGTCTGCGCTGCAGCGTAACTTCGGCCTTCCCGCTCATCGGCTCATATGCGACATGCCCACAAGGTGGAACTCCACCTTGCACATGCTGGAGAGACTGTGCAAGCCTCAGCAGGCGATAGTGGAGTTTCAGCTGCAGCACGCACGGGTCAGTCGCTCTGCGGAACAGCACCACTTCACCACCAATGAGTGGGCCTCCATGCAAGACCTGTGTGCCATGTTGCGCTGTTTCGAGTACTCCACCAACATGGCCAGTGTCGATGAAGCCGTTCTCAGCCTATACTGCTTCTATGTCTCCTTGAAAAAACGCTTTGGGAGATGATGGAAGAGGATGTGGCACAGGAGGAAGAGGGGGAGGAAGAGGGGTCATTTCCATGGTTATCAGGCCAGTCATTCACAAGTGGCTCGGAGGGTGGGTTCCTTCACTAGCATAGGCCAGTTACACAGTTGTCCGGCATCTCCACACTGTCCCATGGAAGCGTTCAGCTGTCCATCTTCCAAACACTGGAGAGAAAGAGGAAGTACCCCCCTACCCACCTGCGATCCCTGGCCCTGAATGTCAGCATTTCAAAATTGCTGGCCTTTGAAATGCTGTAATTCTGTCTGGTAGAGACGGACAGTTTTAAAAACCTGATGGCGTTATTGTACTGCAAGAAATGCACCGCTGGCCACAAATGTTTCTTTTTTTATATGTCCCAATAAAAAAATAAAAAACAGTGTTGGCCACCTCCTCCACCGCCGCTTCCACCTACACCGCCACGTTAACCGCCTCCTCAACCTATGGGTCACTTAGTATAAACTGTGAACACAATAGCAGAGGCTTGTGAAGGCCTTTTCTCCATGCATCAGGAGTTGAGCTCAGTTTGAACAATGAAAGAATACCCTACACTCCAACCCTCTCTCAAATGGATAATTCTGGTGATCCTCCTGACAGCCATGCTTTAGATTTTGATTTATGTTCTTCCAAAGCTAAAATCAAAGATTCCATCTAGTGGTATTCTATGGCTCAGCTGTATTTTTATTTTTTAGGTATTTTATGTTGTTATTTTAAGTGATTTCCCTATCCATATTTGTTTGCAGGGCACTTGTCCTACTCTTACCCCCATTTTACTTCCTTTTGCAGCCCTCTAGCCCTTTCCAGGACTTTTTTAGAGGCATTTTAGTGCCCAAAAGTTTGGGTCAACATTGACTTCAATCGAGTTCGGGGTCAAGTTCGAGCCCGAACTCGAACTTTTTGACAAAGTTCAGCCGAACTCAGTGAACCCGAACATCCAGGTGTCCGCTCAACTCTACTTGAAAGCAAGCAAATACACAAACAGTACCCCCTGGCTTATAGCAGTGTTTATTGCCTTAGTTTGTGGGAACAAAACTACTGCACAGCGCTCTCCTGGCTGTTCAGGAAAAGGAAGCAGGCGTTCGTAAAGTTTGACCGGTGTTCGGGAAGTCAAGTGTCCGATTTTAGTTCCAGACACTCGACGACCAAGTCCTGCTGCCTCCTTTCCACAAAGGGATAGCACTTAATCGACTGTTCTCTTTGAAGTTAATGAGCCAGGGGGTGGTCGTGTTCGGTAGTTTCAACTACCGAACCAAAAAATAAATAAAAAGTCCAGATAAAACATGATGGTTTCATCACAGGGCACATTAAGGACAGGGAATGAAACAAAGAGAGGGGAGAGGACCACTAAGGGACAGGGAAGGGGGAGGACACATTAAAGGACAGGGAAGTGGGGGCACACTAAGAGACAGGGAAGGGAGGAGAGAGAAGAGTGGGTGTGGGAGGAACAATAAGGGGAATGGAGGGGAGAGGAACACTAAGGAGGGATAGAGAGGAACACTAAGGAGGGAGGGAAGGGGGGACAAATTAAAGGACAGGGAAGAGAGGGGAACCACTAAGAGACAGGGAAGGGGGTGGAGAAGACCACTAAGGGACAGGGAAAGGGGGACACATTAAGGGACAGAAAAGAGGGGGGTACCACTAAGGAACAGGGAAGGGAGGGGTAAGGACCACTAAGAGACAGGGAAGGGGACACACACATTAAGGGACAGGGAAGGGGGGCACCCTAAGAACAGGGAAGGGAGGGGAGTGGACTACTAAGGGACAAGGAAGGGGGTAACATTAAGGGACAGGAAAGAGAGGGGCACACTAAGGACAGGGAAGGGAGGGGAAAGGACCACTAAAGGACAGTGAAAGGTGGGGGGAGAGGACATTAGGGGACAGGAAAAAAGTGGGGTGACCTAAAGGGACAGGGAAGGGACACACACACTAAGGGACAGGGAAGGGGGAAGACACATTAAGGGACAGGGAAGGAAGGGGAGATGACCACTAAGGGGGTGGGGGAGGAACAATAAGGGGAAGGGAGCATAGGGGGCCACTAAGGGGGGGATTTGAGGGACACTAAGGGGCAGGGAAGGGGGGACACATTAAGGAAGGGGATGGGACCACTAAGGGACCTTGTAGGGGGACTTTAACACAAAGTTAACAACTAATTACAACAAGGTTAAAAATTATGACACTCCCCTATACATCACACAATCCCTCCTCTCTGCCATGGAGATAATTGAGTCAGATACTGTAATAACTCAATTATCTCCAGACAGAAAAAAAACACAGTTTCCATAAAACTTAAAAAGTGCCCCAAAACACATAAAATCCCCATAAATGTTATATCCCCTGATAGTCCTTATCTGGGTGACCAACATATCCAAAAATCACCCAGATTAGTTCAGGGGTTTTGGAATTTTATGGATGTCTTAATTTGACCGACCGCACATGAGGCTCCTACCCAGAAATAGTTCCATGAGTTTAGGTTGTGCAGTCGGTCTATTTTGGAAAGTCTTGCAACCGAACAAATACACGAACAGTACCCCCCGGCTTATAGCAGCATTTGTTCCCTTAGTTCATGGGAACAAAACTACCGCACAGCGCTCTCCTGGTTGTTCGGGAAAAGGAAACAGGCGTTTGTTAAGTTTGACCGGTGTTCGGGAAGTCGAGTGTCCGATTTTAGTTCCAGACACTCGATGACCAAGTCCCGCTGCCTCCTTTCACACAGGGATTGCACTTAATCGACTGTTACATAGTTACATAGTTACATAGCTGAAAAGAGACTTGCGTCCATCAAGTTCAGCCTTCCTCACAATTGTTTTTTGCTGTTGATCCAAAAGAAGGCAAAAAACACAGTTTGAAGCACTTCCAATTTTGCAACAAGCTAGGAAAAAAATTCCTTCTTGACCCCAGAATGGCAGTCAGATTTATCCTTGGATCAAGCAGTTATTACCCTACATTGAAAGATTATATCCTTGAATATTCTGTTTTTGCAAGTATGCATCAAGTAGCTGTTTGAACATTTGTATGGACTCTGATAAAACCACTTCTTCAGGCAGAGAATTCCTCATCCTTATTGTTCTTACAGTAAAAAAACCTTTCCTTTGCCTTAGACTAAATCTTCTTTCTTCCAGTCTAAACGCATGGCCTCGTGTCCTATGTAAAGTCCGGTTTGTGAATAGATTTCCACACAATGGTTTGTATTGGCCCAGAATATATTTGTATAATGTTATCATATCCCCTCTCAGGCGATGTTTTTCTAAGCTAAATAGGTTTAAATTTGTTAACCTTTCTTCATAGCTGATATGTTCCATTCCTTTTATTAATTTTGTAGCCCACCTCTGCACTTTTTCTAGTGCCATAATATCCTTCTTTAGAACAGGTGCCCAAAATTGCACAGCATATTCAATATGTGGTCTTACCAGTGATTTATAAAGAGGCAAAATTATATTCTCGTCCCGAGAATGAATGCCCTTTTTCACGCATGACAATACCTTATGGCCTTGGCCACTGCTGATTGACATTTCACATTGTTGCATAGTTTGTTGTCTATAACAATTCCCAAGTCCTTTTCGTGTGTTGTTATCCCTAATTCGCTTCCATTAACGGTATACGTTGCTTGTGTATTCTTTACGCCGAAGTGCATAACTTTGCATTTTTCAACATTACATTTCATCTGCCATTTGAGTGCCCAGTTCCCCAGTCTATCTAAATCCCTCTGCAGCAAAGTAATATCTTGCTCACATTGTATTATTTTACAGAGTTTTGTGTCATCTGCAAAAACTGAAACATGACTTTCAATGCTGTCTTCAAGATCATTTATTAACATATTAAATAGAAGGGGTCCCAGAACAGACTCCTGAGGGACACAACTTGCCACCTCTGTGCAGCTTGAAAATTTACCATTAACGACAACTCTTTGTACTCTGTTTTTAAGCCAATGTTCTACCCAAGAACAAGCATTTTCATCTAGACCGATTTCCTTGAGTTTGAACACTAATCTATTGTGTGGAACTGTATCAAATGCCTTGGCAAAATCCAAATAGATCACAACCACTGCAACACCCTGATCTATACTTCTACTTACTTCTTCGTGGAACGCAATCAAGTTAGTTTGACATGACCTGTGCTTCATAAAAACCGTGCAGATTTTTGCTGATAACCATGCTCTTCTCATGTTCTCTTTGAAGTTAATGAGCCAGGGGTGTGGACGGTGTTCGGTAGTTTCAATTACCGAACCAAAAAATAAATAAAAGTCCAGAAAAAACATGGTGGTTTCATCACAGGGCACACTAAGGACAGGGAAGGGAGGGGAGAGGACCACTAAGGGACAGGGAAGGGAACACACAAATTAAGGGACAGGGAAGGGGGGCACACTAGGGACAGGGAGGGGAGGGGAGAGGACCACTAAGGGACAGGGAAGGGGGAGGACACATTAAAGGACAGGGAAGTGGGGCACACTAAGAGACAGGGAAGGGAGGGGAGAGGATCACTAAGTGGGTGTGGAAGGAACACTAAGGGGAATGGAGGGGAGAGGAACACTAAGGAGGGATGGAGAGGAACACTAAGGAGGGAGGGAAGGGGGGACAAATTAAGGGACAGGGAAGAGGGGGGGATCACTAAGAGACAGGGAAGGTGTGTAGAAGACCACTAAGGGACAGGGAAAGGGGGACACATTAAGGGACAGGGAAGAGGGGGGGACCACTAAGGGACAGGGAAGGGGGAGGACACATTAAGGGACAGGGAAGGTAGGGGTAAGGACCACTAAGAGACATGGAAGGGGACACACACATTAAGGGACAGGGAAAGGGGGGCACCCTAAAGACAGGGAAGGGAGGGGAGAGTACTACTAAAGGACAGGGAAGGGGGGAACATTAAGGGAAATAGGGAGGGGAGAGGACCAGTAAGGGACAGTGAAGGGGGAAAAGGACATTAAGGGACAGGGAAGAAGTGGGGGTACCCAAAGGGACAGGGAAGGGGGACACACACTAATGGACAGGGAAGGGGGAGGACACATTAAGGGACAAGGAAGGGAGGGGAGATGACCCTTAAGGGGGTGGGGGAGGAACACTAAGGGGATGGGAGGGGAGGGGGCCACTAAGGGGGGAATGTGAGGAACACTAAGGGAAGAAGGGGACACACACTAAGGGACAGGGAAGGGAGGGTAGAGGACCACAAAGGGACAGGAAGGGGACACATTAAGGGACAGGGAAGGGGGGCACACTAAGGGACAATGAAGGGAGGGTAGAGGACCACTAAGTGGGTGGGGGAGGAACACTGTGAGGAATGGAGGGAAGAGTAACACTAAGGAGGGAGGAAGAGGACACTAAGTTACAGTGGGGCAGGGGAGAGCACTAAGGGACAGGAGGGGATAGAACAAAGGGAGAGCTCTAAGGGATAGGAGGGGACAGGGGGAAGAGGAGACAACTAAGGGACAGGGGGAGGAGAGGAGACCACTAAGGGGGAGGGAACAAGATCATTAAGGGATGGCGTAGTGGAAGAGACACATAGAGAGGCTGTGGAAGGGGCAAAAGAGAAGCACAAAAGTAGGGGAGAAAGAGACACACAGTAGGACTCGGAGGCAGACACACATAGGGCCTGGAGGTGAAAGAGTGGTAGGGGTAGGGGTAGGGGAGAAAGAGACACACAGAGGGACTCGGAGGCAGACACACAGAGGGGCCTTGATGTGAAAGAGACACACAAAGGAGCTGGTAAGAGAAAAAGACACAAAGTGGATAGGGGAGTAAGACACGCAAAGGGGTTGGGAGGATATAGGAGACATGCAAAGAGGGGAGGTAAAAGACAAACAAGGGGCTTTTAAGAGATACACTAAAGGAGATGTAAGACACAAAACATTAAAAAATATTAACAAAATAAAAATATTTAAAAAAAACAAAGAGCTGCTCCTGTCTCAGCCCTGACAAGACTCAGCCCCATCCTACCCCACAAACTCTCTTTCTCATACTGCACACACATATACACAATGTATCCCCACACACACAGAAACAGATAGTGCATCCCTACACACCCACAGACACACATGCACAAAAACATACAATGCATCCCTACCCACACACAGAAACAGACAATGCATCTCTACATGCACAGACACACATGCACTGAAACATACAATGAATCCCTACACACATACACAGAAACGTACAACGTATCCCTACACACACACAGAAACGTACAATGCATCCATTACACACACAGAGTGCACAATTAATTTTTCAGGCATGTATTTATTGGGTGTATTTCTTAAAAAATTCTTGAAAAGATTGTAAACAGTTTTTGGCTAGAGGCGTTGAGTACTTAAAAAAGGTGTGTCCGGTGCAGCCACGGACGTCTGCGACTGCACCAGGCATGAAGTGGGTCAGAAGGGGCAGCCTTGGGCGGCAAAAGCTCTAGCTACACCACTGCCTCCACTCAGGCATTAAAGGATCACTATAGGGTCAGGAACACAAACATGTATTCCTGACCCTATAGTGTTAACACCACCATCTTGCACTCCTGGGCCCCTTATGCCTCCATATATCAAAATCTTACTGTATTTAAGCCAGAAGCTGTAACTTTGCATTCTGTTTGCCTCAGAAAAACAATCAGTCTGCTGACATCATCAGAAGTGGTGGTCTGATCAAATCACCATGCTTCTCCATAGGATTGGCTGAGACTGACAAGGAGGCAGATCAGGGGCAGAGCCAGCATGATTCAAACACAACCCTGGCCAATCAGCATCTCCTCATAGAGATGAATTGAATCGATGAATCTCTATGAGGAATGTTCAGTGTCTACATGCAGAAGGGGGACATACTGAATGTTTGGATGCATTTTAGGAAGCCATGACCCAGGAAGGATCTCTACCAGCCATCTGAGGAGTGGCCAGTGAAGTTATCACTAGGCTGTAATGTAAACACTGCATTTTCTCTGAAAATACATTGTTTACCTCAAAAAGCCTGAAGGTGATGATTCTACAAATTCCAGAAGCTGTAGTTGTTCTGGTGACTATAGTGTCCCTTTAATGAAATTATCTCTAATCACTCCCACAAATCATTTAAGATTAGAGATTTTTTAATGTGTCAAAGCACCAATTTAATCTACGTACTGGAGTGCCAAAAAGACAATGTTTCATCAGAGTGAGGGAGCATATGTTAAACATCAAAAAAGGATTTATGCAACACTCCGTGTCAGCCCACTTCAAGAATTTCCGCAAATCAGAAAATGAGTCTCCTAACCTTTAAGGCTATTTGCAAAGTGAAAAAGAACTGTAGAGGAGGAGACCACACAAAACAAATGGGGATAGCAGAGATGTAATGGATCTATAAAATAGATTCCTTGCATCCAAAAGGACTGAATGTGGAATTTGAACTGAACTATTCTCAGAGATTTGGCAAGTACTCTCAAGTTAAACAGACTCTGTCAGGTATTGCTTAAGAGGGATTATCTTTTAGCCCTTTGCTTGGTTAATTATGGCAGAACCTAATTTTAGGTACTGGGCCCATTTAAATGGATACTAACCTTGTTAGTATGAGACTTGAAGAAAGGAGTAGAGACGTAAAGGGAAGATATAAAGCTAGTGCATACCTCCTGACTGAAATATAAAGTATTGGCGGCAAATAGAGACCTATAGGGACAAAAAAAACTGTAAAGATAGATAGAGTA